TAAGCGGTTTACAGGATCCGCCTATTGCCCCCTCAACAATCTGGGTCCTCATTTTACCCACCTCGGAAGGATGGAAGGCTGAGTACCAACCTTAAGCCGGTCAGGATCGAACTCCTGGCTGTGGACAGAGTCAGACTGCAAAGCTGCATTTTAACCATTGCATACCATGGATGGATGGATGGATGGATGGATGGATGGATGGATGGATGGATGGAAGAAGGAAGGAAGGAAGGAAGTAAAGAAGGAAGGGGGAAAGGAAGAACAATAGCAATAGCCCTTAGACTTATATACCGCTTCACAGTGCTTTGCAGCCCCTTCTAAGTGGTTTACAGAGTCAGCCTGTTGCCCCCCAACAATCTGGGTCCTCATTTTACCGACCTCGGAAGGATGGAAGGCTGAGTACAACCTTGAGCCGGTCAGGATCGAACTGCTAGCTATGGGCAGAGTCAGCCTGCGATCCTGCATTCTAAGCACTGCGCCACCACGCCTCTTAATAAATAAATAATAAATAAACGTGTGATAAAAGGTACAATTCCACCGTTCATTGCAAGTGTCCCTTAGATGCATGTAAGGAATAATTAAGGCTTTAAAAAAAAAATGATATAGTGCAATTTGCTTTCGTTTTTCTAAGCAAAACATCAGGCTAAAAATTGTTCCCTGGGCAATGTTGCGTGCAGATTTTCTAGCATGTGTTTTTTTTCTCCCCCAGTTACAAAAAATAAAATAAAAATAAAAGGGTACAGGTAGTCCTCAAGTTACAGCAGTGTATTTAGTGACTGTTCAAAGTTACAACGGCGCTGAAAAAGGGGACTTAGGACTGCTTTTCAGACTTACGACCGTTTGCAGCATCCCCCACAGTCAGGTGATCAAAATTTAGACCCTTGGCAACTGACTCATATTTACGACGGTCGCAGTGTGCCGGGGTCACGTGATCCCCTTTGGCGATCTTCTAAGAAGCCAAGTCAATGGGGGAGCCATATTCACTTAAGCAACCACGTTACTAACTCAACAATTGCAGGGGTTCACTTAACAATCGTGGCGAGAAGGGTCGTAAAACGGGGCAAAACTCACTTAAGAAATGTTTCGCTTAGCAACCTAACTTTTGGACTTAATTACGGTCGTCACTCAAGGACTATCTGCGAAGTGGAATATATGTGAAAAGTTGCTGGGGTTAAGAGACACCCCCCCACACACACACACACAGGGTTATATAATGAATTCCCACCTAATCAACAGCGGTCGATGAAAGAGGAAGATCGTTATTACTTACACATCACGTTGAGAAAAATGTTGCCTGAGGCCAGGACCACCTTCTCACGCGTCGCCCTGTCGTAAATCCCCACGTGACATTCATACGGTCCGTTGTCCGAAATTCGGACTTCAGGGAGTCTGTTGTGACAAGAGAGAAACAGAGAATGAAGGACGCCATGATCCATTGAAGGCCCTGTAGAAAATGACCATCCAGAAGATGTTAGAGGACAGGAAGACCTGGAGGAACATTGTCCACGGGGGCGTGATGGGTCGGACACGACTTCGCAACTAACAACAACAAAGAAAATGACTGCGATTTTCCTAATACATTTGTCAACGCTGCTAACATCAGATGTTCTTGCTTTGACAACATATGGAGATGCAGCCATTTTCCTTTACTTTATGTTTTACTCTTAGAGTTAGAATTAGATGATACTGGGGGGGGGGGAAGGAGGAGGAGGAATGTGCATGGGAGATTAGTTAGACAAAACAATACTGTATAAGGGTGAGAACCAAGGCTGTTTGTAATAAGAGATGATAAGAAATGGCGGGTGAAGAACTGGTGGGAAAGCCTGCATTTCAAACTAATTGGAGAATGTGATTTATGACTGTTAGTTAGAGGAGGGAATTGTGCTTTGATAGTATGTGCTCAGGGGAGGGGAAGTCAGATTCTGGCTTGGACTATGTACATGCCCGATGTGTTGCTACTCAAATAAATATTCGTTAAGGTAAACAATGCCTCAAAGTTCTTTGAAGAGTTTCATATGTGGGAACCATGACAACATTATAGTCGGTTGACTCCTGACCGTTCATTTAGTGATGGTTTGAAGTTACACCGGTACTGAAAAAAGTGACTTATGACCGGTCCCCACACTTATGTGTCATGGTTCCGACAGATGAAACTCTTCAAAGAACTTCGAGGCATTGTTTACCTTAAAGAATCTTTATTCGAGTAGCATAGCATCGGCACTTACATAGGCCAAGCCAAAATCTGAATTCCCCTCCCCTGAGCACATAGTATCAAGCACAATTCCCTCCTCTATTTAGCAGTCATAAATCACATTCTCCAATTAGTTTGAAATGCAGGCTTTCCCTCCAGTTCTCCAACCCACCATTTCTTATCATCTCTTATTTCAAAAAACCTTGGTTCTCACACTAGTTGCAATATTGTTATGCCTAACTAACTCCCATGCACATTCCTCCTCCTCCCCACCCTAGTATCAATGCTGCTAACATCAGATGTTCTTGCTTTGACATGATGACTGTAGCAGCATCCCTACGGTCACATGATCAAAATGCGGGCGATTGGCCGTTGACTCGTATCTACAATAGTGTCAAGAATGAAACTTCTGCAGCTACGTGCCTCTTCGTTTCAACTTGCCTTTAGAGTGGGGTGGTGGTGGTGTAAGTTGTTGCTTTAGAATTGGATAGATAAGAGAAACGAAACCTCTACGATTCCACTGAAGACGGTGAGAGCCTGAAACCTTTTCAAGGACACAGCAGCAGGTGCAGAGAGGAAACAGACGGTTCCCATAACAAAGTGAAATTGTTTACATGGACAACGTGAGAGGTTGCTGGGGGAAATTATTGCTTAATTCTATGAACTGGTGTCTGGGAAGCTCGGAGTTAGTTTTGCTTCGACATTACCATGCCGTGTATTCAATAAACAGTTAAGATTTTCGGAAACGGAATGAACCTGGAGTTTTGATTCTCGAGTTGGCTGTGGACAGATGGTTGCAGCAGCCCCAGGGTCACCTGATCTCTGTTTGTGACCTTCCCAGCTGGCCTCTGACAAATAAAGTCAATGGGGGAAGCCAGATTCACTTAACAACCACATGTTTCGGTTAATAACTGCAGTGATGTGTTTAACAACCATGGAACAAAAGGATATAAAATTGAGCGTGACTTGCTTAGCAACAGCCTTACTCAGCAAAGGAAGTTCTGGTCCCAGCTGTCTGCGTAAGACGAGAGTTGTAAACAGACTGGACTGTTTCTGCACAAATCCAAATTTAACTTCATTGTCTCTGCCTAAAGCGATTCTTGGTCTTAATTCCAGACGGTCAATTCCCCCTAAGCAGGTCATCAGATTGATTATTTTTTTCCTTTTTATAATATTTTATTAGTTTTCTACATTTGCAATTCGTAAGTGCTTAGTAAACAACGTGGTGTCTGGGTCCCTTTGTTTTACTTAATAATGCACATTAAAATCCTAATCTCTCCCCCGTTTTTCCAGCTACTGATAAAATGCATCCCATATTTGAAAGTATTCTGTGTCTTCTTTTCTTTAATCTTCAGTGTAAGTCTATCCATTTCTGCACAGTCCAGTATTTTCATGATGGTCTCTTCTTCAGAGGGTGTTTCTTCATTTTTCCAGTACTGAGCAAATACAATTCATGCTGCTGTTAATGCATGCAACATTAAATATACACTTTCTTTATCATATATTCCTGATAATAGACCTAATAAAAATAGTTCCGGTTTTAAAATCTGCGTGTTTTCTTAACATCTTTCCTAGCCAGATATTATTTTTATTGATTATTTTCATTCTGAGCCTTTGAACATGCAGAGAATGCGTGTGATTTTTTTTTCCAACTCCCCTGTCGAAAAGGAGAGCCTGCACTGTATTGTTTGAGTTGAAATTGGAAATGCAATTTCTACTTCCAGAAAATGTGAAGAAATAATATTGATCATTGTGCAAATCCTGAAATACTGTGGTTTTTCTGAACGGAAGGGGAAGGAGGGTGAATACGGGCCAAATAGCTGAGGATAAAAAAAAAGAAAAAAATCTTTGTGCTGGCTAGATTAAATTAAGTGTTGGAAGCATCTCTCTTCAGCTCTGCTCTGGCCCTTGACATTTTTCGACTGGGCTGTGAAATTCATCTACTGACACAACTGCAAACTTTTTTAAAAAAATAAAAATAAAAAATTCAGGTCTAAAAGAGGAAGGGGGAGTGAGTTGGATACAGAAAAAGCCCCCCGGGAGGGGGGAAAGAAAAGGAAAATCAAAGTGATTCCATCATGCTTGCAAAGCCCAATCTGGAAAAGGAACTCAAAATGAATCTCCAAGGAGGATGAGATGAGAAAGAAAGAGAGAGAGAGAGAGAGAGAGAGAGAGA